TAATTCTACATTAATAACAGCAGCAGCTCCGTTCTCCATCCCGCATTTCCATGCTTCAGGAGTTCTCCCTCCCCGCGGTGTGAACATACGTTCGGATATGATTCCCGCTTATCAGCTTGCAGGAAATGCCGGTCCAACTTTTTTCAAAATTTCAATTTTTCTTTACCGAAGTACTCTGAAAAGCCATTATCCTGTGGCTTGCTTTTGCAGCTGTTGCAGCCAGTGGCTTTTGCTGGTGCTTCGACCGGTGCTGCATTGTCTACCAGCTGCAGCTGGTGCTGACATTTGCTTTGTCTTTACCAAAAAAGCATTGCCAACTCAGTGGCTTTGCTATTAGAAGCGCATAACGGGTTTTTAATGGCTTCAGGATGTGCTTGATATATATATATATATATATGCGCTCACCATCAATAGCGCGCTTCCCTTAAAACAAGATAGGGCACCTTGTCGACCAACAGACTTTTTGGGGGAAGATTTGATGGCAGCCGATAAGAAAAAAGGCGTTTTTACCATTTGGATATTTCGCACATGAACTTGGCTTCCTCGTTCTGTCTGTTTTTTACTCGTTGTGCCAGCCCCCTCCGCTCCTCTTCCTCCCTTCCTTGCCTCCATCTCGCTTCGCTATCTGCATATATTTCCTCATTCCTTGTATTTCTAAAAAAATTTTTTTTCAAATAACCGAACAACAGCAACAACATTTTACCTTCGGAGAGACAGAAGCAATAAATAGTGAAGCGCACCGGGGTAGCCGGTGCGATCATGCGTTTTGCGCAGTTCCGTCCAGCGGACGTTTGCTTACTAGAAATATAACTGTTTTACACTTCCGTTCGTGGAAATATAGTAGATATGCTATCTGGCTCCTAAGGTGAAGAATTTCTCACCATAAATTTCACATGCCGGTACGTGAAAGCCGAATTTCAAAACATGGATGGGAAACATTTTTCCAAATTCAACCTTTTAGTTTCACGGCTTCCGAACTAGTGAGTTTCACTTCAAAATTCTCACGTGGTCTTATGTAAGACCTCTGCTTAGTTGAGAGATAAATTTAAGTTTGTGAGATACCTGCAGCAGCAGAAAATATCGTCCTGAAATTTCAGCTCCTGGCTTTCATGGTTCCCGAGATAATTTTTCGCCAAAACTTTCACAGGGCCGTACACGACATCCAAGCGCACGGGAAAACTGAATTTAAATTTTCTGGGTCGCACGTGGTCAAGGGGCATACCCAAGGGGTACACTCATAAAATTTCAGCTCCCTTGCCTCCTTTGTTCCTAAGATAATGATTTTACCTGTCGAAAATTTTACAGGGCCGTACGTGTTACCCGCAAGTACGGGAAGACTGAAATTTAAATTTTCTGGGTCGCACATGGGCATGGGACATACCTATAAAATTTCAGCTTCCTTGCTTCCGTGGTCCCGGAGATAATTTACCCGCCAAAAGTTTCAAGGGAAGGTAGGTGATATCCGAGAGAGTGAGAACGTGAATTTGCGAGCCGTACGTGAGCAGTGGTCATTACGTCATTACCCTAAAATTTCAGCTTCTTAGATTCTGCGGTTCTCGAAATAATAGTTCACTTACCAAAAGTTTCACCGGGCCGTATATGTTACCCACAGATAAAGGAAGGGTGAATTTGAGTTTTCTGGGTCGCACGTGGTCAGAGGACATACCCATAAATTTCAGCTTCCCAGCTTCCACGTTCTTCGAGGTACTGATTTTATCCGCCAAAACTGTTACGGGGCTGTATGTGTTGCCCGCGGGTGCGGGCTGAATTTAAATTTGCCGCGTCACACGTTGGCAGGGAACACTATACCAAAATTTCAGCCGCCTAGCTTTTGCGGTCTCCTAGTTGAAAGTGCGGGACAAAATGTGGGACATACATACATACACACACACACACACACACATACACACACATACACACACACACATGCAAACACACAGAGAACCCCGTAACAATATGTGTTTTGTACTGTTGTTATACGGCAAAAATGCATAAAAATGAGTTAAAAGCAACGAGTTATCAAGAAATAAATTTTAGCAGGGAACAATGTTAACCGACAAGTGTGCAGGCAGTGTTCGATCGTGGAGCTACTACTACTACTACTGTAGTAAGTGCTGGACTAACTACTGACCGATGACCGCGTCCAGTGGCGCAGCGGCAGCAGTTGCGGCGTCGGACATCACGCTGGTGGACTACTTCGTGGTTGTCGGATACGACAGCGCTGCACTGCTCCAGGTTATTTTAAACACAAAATTGCCACCAAATTGACTGTGAATAAAAGCAGATCAACGCGCGGTAAGATAACTTACCTCATTGTGGTGGAGGAGTGACGGGGGATTAACACATGCGAGGTGACTAAAGCCCCCCCTTTTTTAGACTCAGGCTTTTACATATTTTTGGCTGTGCGCGAGGCGCCTGAAGAGATTTGCCGGCATATTTCAATTTGCTTTTTGAATTTGCTGGTGCCTGAAGAGACCTGGTTTGTGTTTATGGACGGAGTCATGGCCTGGCAACTTCCCGAGAAGATGAAACGAAGTTTAGGATCGCCAGCAACCCGAACAGTAGGAGATGTAGCATCGGCCAGAGCAACAAGAAATGTTGTCAAATAAAAACTGAAGAAATGAACCATGAATTACTAATTGTTCCAAAGAAATTTGCTTCGGGATTTAATTGGATATGGTGGGTCTGAATAGTAAAATTCGTCCTCTTATCTGTCTTTTGTGCTATGTATGCTATCCAGTTGAGATTTGATCTTGAACGTGGCGGCTAGGAGGCTGTACTGACGATTCCCGTTCCTAAACCCGCATACATTGCTCGGTCTGTGTTTACAACAAAGGAATAAAACGCAGACTATGTCCTAAAATGTTCTCCGACACATGACACTTAAGACCAATCCTCCTATTCTACTATTTCAGACTGACTCGACATGCAACGGTACTGCGCCATCGGAGCTGTTACATATTCCTCCACTACAGCGTTCCTATGTTGCTTCGATTTTATGCCATTTTCCGGCCAAACGCGACGCATATCTCTTTCCATCCGAGATCGTTTCGGTATTCATTTTTCATTTGTTTTTCGGCCAGACAGCACTGCATCCAGACAAGCGACACAATAAACGGTGGTTAATAATTGGAGATGTGCAGCTCAAGCAGGGCCCAGGGGCCAGACCGTAGCTGTATCTGGTTGTGAGAGCATCCCAGTAACATCACTAACACTGAGTTATTGATAAGCTTATGGCTTGGGTTAGCGATAAAGGGCATTTTGTCTTGTCTGATTCGAATTCGTACGGGTAAAACTGGTTTATTCATTATTTTGGCAAATTAGCGATTGCATTAGTCAGAAAGTTGAAACCACCATCAGTTTGCTTCTAAGCAACGCTCGAAGAAAAAAGCATTACTGGTCGTGCCAGCTGATAGTTGCTGTTGGCAGATCCTGTTATTAACTCTCGAAAACAATGGAATGTGTGTGGGTGTTTAACATCTAACAACTAGGAAAGTTAATAACTTTTTTTTTCGCATTTTACCAATATTTCAGCTATGTATGCCCAAGGGGTTAAGGTTTTATACACAAAATGATGTTCCACTGCCGGCGGTGCATACATTTGCCAATATTCGTGAAGATGGCTCACGTGTCAACGGCTGTGCCCTCATCTACTACGAGGTATTTTGAGACGTACTTAAGCATTTTTAAGCAAAATTAAATGTAAATTGGAGATTGAGTTCGTTGTCTAAGTATGTCCTCTTAAAATACTTCGCGTGTTCCCACTGTTTTTCGTTTTTTTGGACTTTTGCAGAGGAGATAATAAGCGTTGCCTCGTATGTTTTTCTCAATTTTATCATTTTTGAGGAATTTTTTTAATCCCCTGCCAGCTTAGCAACTAAAATGTTTAAAATAGTGTGGGTGCGAAAGGTACAGATGCTGGAAGTCAGTGCAA